TGCCTACTGTCCAACTACCTACCCGTGAAGTGCATGGGAACATCCTATGTACTACTCGGGTGCCTCCTGACTGCAGGCGAGGCAGTCACGGAGGCTGCTCTTGCCAATGCCGAAGGGAGGCAGGGGCTGCCGCTGCAGCTCCTGCTTGAGCTGTCGTGGGTAACAGGCCAGAAATAGCCTGTTCCCGAAACCCTGTTTTTGTGCCTGAGTCTTAGGTAGGTCGAACACAATGAGGGCCTAAAAATGGCCCTCCGTTTCAGGCTGAAAAGCCTTTGGGCCTGAAAGGCCCAAAAATAGGCTGAAAACGGAATAGGGCCTGCAGGCCCTCGTTTTTCAGTTTCAGGCTGAAACGACCGGGGCCTGTAAGCCCTATTTTCTAGGCTTTTAGGCTGAAAGTGTGGGACGGGCCCTGCAGGCCCGTGTGGCTACGCAGTATGCCACATCAATGCTGACCTCAAACATGGATGGCTACATGGACGTCGACGACATGCTGGATCATCAAGATCTGCCTGTTCCAAAGGCTTCTGGGAGAGGAAGACCACCACAACCTATCAGAGAGTCAGACTCAGGCATCACACAGATCCAAAGGAAGATCATTGGTTCACAAAGGAGGAGCTGATCAAGGCAGCACCTCAGGTCGTTGCTGATTATAAACGAAAGTTGCAGGGGAAAGCACCTGCGTAGGAGCATCTCACTGGACTTTCGAAGCTAAGGAGGAGGGAGTCCGTGGACGTAGCCCTCACAAGGCCTTTTGAGCTGTGGCTGTCGACTGCTAGAGGGGCCCGCCCTAAGTGAAGGCAGGGCTGCATTTTGACATGAGGCCTTATTTTTGTTACTTCCGAATGTTGGGGCGCCAGACTTTCCAAGCGCCAGTTGGTTACAAGGCCGCGCCAGTGTCAGGATGGCATGCTGAGCCTCCGGGCTCGCCTGGCATGCAACGAGGCCAGAGTGCCCTCGACCAAAAAAAAAGCGAGGGAGCGACGTGGCAAGTCGCCTGTACGCCAATGAGAACGCAATGTGTGACAGCAGCCACGTCGCACGGCTGGGCAGCTTAACTTCTGCGGGCCCCGAAGCCAGGCTTGAGCACCCGCTTGCCAGGCCCAGAGAGCAGGGAAGCTGAGCTCATTTTCCATATAGGAAAGTAAGAGCCTAGGCCAGGATATTATGGTTTTGCACGTCTTGGAGGCCACGCTGTTGCATCGTAGCGCTGGCGAGGCTGCCTCGTCACTGGCTGGCCAGGGCGCACACGGTGTCGCACTTTTTCTAGTCGGGCCACTTCGGGCGACCAGAAAGCCAACAGGCTGTCACGCAAGATCTTGTTGTTGATTGCAATAAATAAAATAAATTAAATAATGCAAATCCCTTCCTGTTGTGTGCGTCCGGCTTCGAGCGAGACCCTTCAATTACGGTCTTCGCCGGTCCCCGGTCTTAGGAATCATTTATTTTGATTCGGAACAGCAGAAATTCATGCAAATAATGGTCATAAAATTATGGTGTGTTATGCATGTATCAATTTGCCAGTTTACTAATTTTGAGAACTGTGACAGAATCATCAGGGAATACAATCATCAAGCATGGCAATGCAAAGAAGCAAGACTGACTGACTCGAGCAATGACAAAGTCAGATGAGGGAAGAATGAGAACTCATAATAGTCTCAGAAAGTACACATCTAGGGAACACGGCCAACACCAGAGGTGGCAACTGGGATTTTATTGAATGCTTGTACCTTACCTACCCATAAACTCTTTGAAAACTAACCACCCATACCCACTGTATTGATGGCCTACCGGACCTTTACCCATCCTTACCTGCTAAAGAAAAAAAAAAGTGTGTACCCGTACCTGCCCTACCTGAACCCCTTCAGACTTTAACTGCCCATAACTGCCCATGGACTTTCCGTTTCAAAATTACCCATGGCCACCTACACCCAAACCTTATGTTAACCACCTGTACCGTACCCAACTAATGTTTTTTTCCACCCCTACCCACCCGTACCCACCCACAATGGTATGCACCCACCCATAACCATCCACACTTGTGACCC